TACCTCAGATAGGGTGCTGTCTTTTAACTCTAGCACAGTGTACCATGGCTAAATGTGCAATAAACAAGCTTTCTGGAGGCTGGTACTGTGTCTCCACAGTAGAGCACTTGCCTAGTAGGTACAAAACCCTGGGTGTTATCCTGAGCTCTAGAAAAACAAACAAGAACAGAAAACTAAAAAGCACTCCCTCTCTGAAAGACCTCGTGGGCAGAGCTGGTCCGACTGGCTCTTTGAAGACGCCTGTTCTCCCTCTGCACCTTCCTCTCCCTAGGGTCTCCATGCCTACCACGGCACAGAGTATCCTAGCACTGATCTTCCAGGAGGGAAGGGCAGGGAGAAGGGGAGGAACTTGGGAGCTGCAGAAGTCACAGAGAAAAAGACAGAGCCCTGCTGAGAGGTGAACAAGCAAAGCCAAAGGGAGACCAGAGCCCGTGTCTAGGCTGCAGAACTATGGAGGTTCTTCAAGGCCTTACAGACCACAGGGACTGAAAAATGACTTTCCTTGTGTTTTTTGTTTAGAAAACTGCCAAAGATTTAGTTGTTCTTGTTTTTGAGATAGGATCTCATGTATCACAGTCTAGAACTTACTATGTGGCCAAAATGACCTTGAGCTTTGGCTTCATCCTCCTCCCTACCACCATCACCCTCCAGTGCTGAGATTACTGGCATGCACTGTGCACCCTGTGTACCTGATTTACAGGGCACTGGGGATGGAACTCAGGGCTTTATACATGCTTGGTAAACAATCTACCAACTGAGCTACATCCCTGGCCATTAATTTGTTTTTCAGTAAATGTTGTGGTTTTCACTGTGTCCTGTATGGGACTCTCCATGGGACAGGACCTCGGGTTGGCCTGACTTTTACAGGCCCAGTTCTTGTGTCCACTGTCACACCCCCTCTTGCACCCTGAGTCTCTAACATCTGCAGTGTTAATGTGGCCATGTGAGGGACCTTCCTGCTTAGGGACCCACAGTCACTGGTCAGCACGCAGCTGTGTTCCCTCTACCTCCGGGGCTGTGTTTCCCATCTGCTGCTTCTGCTCCTGTCACAGTATGTCACAGTCATTTTGAAACTGTATTAACCAGAAAAATGTCGTAGCAATAAGTTATCTTACTGAAGTCCTGACCATATTTGTTTAAAAAGTCTTACTTCTCACCCATATATCTTCCCCAAATACTTCCCATATGTCAGTCTGTCACCCAGAATGCTGCAGTGCCTCCTTTGCCAAAAACAAAGCAAACCAAAATTAAAACAGAAACTCTAGCTGGTTAATCATTCTCCTATGGAAGCATCAGAAGTTGAGGTTGGAGGATGTAACTCTATGCTTAAGACCCTGGGTTCCAATCTCCAGCACCACACAGAAAGTCAGTTTGACTCTAAATGGTCTGAATCATAGTATTCTTCATACATCAAAGGGACCCAGGTTCAGAATGACAGAGTGTTCTTGTGTGGCTGCCTTGGATTTCAGAATCAATATCTGTGCTGTGGAAACTACAAACTCAAAACATTCAACTTAAATTCTGTGTGTGTGTGTGAGTGTGTGTACCCATGCTTGTGTGTGCACATATATGTGGAGGCCAGAGGTCAACTTTGGGTGGTGTGCCTCAGAAACTGCCCACGTGTGTTATTTATTTACTTATTTACTTATCTATTTATTTAGAGACAGGGTCTCCCTGTAGCCCCAGGTGGCCTGGAACTTGCTGTGTAGACCAGGCTGGCCTCAATCTCATAAAGATCTCCCTGCCTCTGCCTCCTGAGTACTGGGATTAAAGGCATGTGCCATCATGCCCAGCTACTTTGTTTCTGGAGACAAGATTTCTCACTGGGACTTGGGGCTTGCGGATTAGGCTGAGTTGGCTGGGCCAATGAACTTCCAGGGCGTCTTCAAGATTCTATATCATTGTGTTTGACCACGTGAAGACAAATTTCACTGATTAATTTCAGTTAGGACTGAACAGCATCTATGAGTTGCCAAAACAGTTCCTCAGCTAGGGCTGGGGCTTCTTACTCACTTCCCCACCTCTATGCTGGTGTAACTGTGATTATTTTAATTAATAATTTTTTTAGAGACAAGGTCTCCTTGTAGCCCCAGCTAGCCTGGAACTCACTGTGTAGACCAAACTGGCCTTAATCTTATATATATCTGCCTGCCTCTGCCTCCTATGCGCTGGGATTAAAGGCATGCACCACCACACCAGCTTGTAACTGATTATTAGTATATTAAAAATAAAAACTTTGAGATGGCCTTTATGTTGGTCCCAGTGGAGAAAACTGAACTTTAAAATCTCATTTTTAAATTTAGTAATAGGTGATAGTTCAACTTGAAAGTTCTTTAATTGATAAGCTGCAAGTTATTTTTTAAATATTTTATTATTTTTATTTTATATGTATGAGTGTATTGCCTACATGTATGTAAGAGCACCCATATCATGCAATGCCTGCGCAGGTCAGAAGAAGATGTAAGATCCCCCTGGAACTGGAGTTACAGATGGCTGTTAGCTGCCATGTGGGGTGCTGGGAATCAGAACCATGTTCTCTGCAAGAGCAGCTAGTGCTCTTAACTGCTGAGCCATTGCTCTAGCCCCAATAAGCCTCAAATTCTTAAGCAGTTGCAGAAACATGTTAAACTTACAGGTAGGATGAACCATAAATATCTTAAGTGTGAAAATAGTAATAAATTAAGAAATTTCAATTTAGAATCATGAGTGTGGGTCACTTATCAATATATATTTTAAAACCAACAATCACAAGGTTATTTCACAGTTTCAGTTACAGGGGTGTGCAAGCTTTTGACATTGCCACATGATGTCATCTGCAAAACTGTCGGGCAGCATTCATAGCTCTCCTGAGACACATGCAGCCACAACTTGGATACAACTGGTGATTCTACAGTCTTTTAATATGTCTGTCCTGGATTCTGAACCTCCCCAGAATTAAAGGAAGCTTTTTTGCTGCTTTTAATACTTATTTATCTGAAAGAGACTCTTGCTATGCAGCCCAGACTGGCCTGGAACTCCCCATCCTCGGGCCTTAGCTTGCTGAGTGCTGAGGCTCAGGTGCTCAGCAGAAGTAGTGTAGAGACTTGAATTCTCTGGGGGCTATACCCAGATTCTCCACTAGAGGGCCCCTATGGTCTTGCCTGGAATCCAGTCTGCACAGGATTTGTCAGTGCCTCCTTCGTGGAAGAGCTCAGCCCACATGCCCGAAGTCACATTTCCCTAAATCCTATGAACTTAGACACCTCCGTTCCCAACCAGCTTGCGGTTCTACCTGGATCCAGGCGATCAGCCTCCTCAGCCGCCTGTGAGGGACCACACACCCAAATGAACGGAAGTTCTCTGTTGGCTTGCGTGGCTACCGGTAGCCATGGAAGATGACAAAAGTGGCATACATGCTGGTACTGAAAAATGACCTGACACTCAGAGGTTCAGGGTTCCTATCGACTGAGCCCTGAGATTCTACTCTGGACATCCTTTTGTTTATTATGAAAAAGACAACGCCCCTCCCCCACCGCAGATGGCCTCTGAACCCACCACAGCCTGTGTCTGAGCCACCTGCTCAGTCGCCCAAGGTCAGAATCCTAGATCAGGGCCTTTGAACTGCTCTCAACACTTGTTATCACATGTGTGTGTAATTCTGTATCTAAAAATTCCATATACATGCGTTTTCCTGTAGTTTTTGCAATGATGGGGATCAAACCCAGGGCCATGCACATGTTAGACAAACACTCTTTCACTGAGCTACAATAGCCTTCCATATATTTTTGTTCTCTCACTTTTTAAAAACAAAAATGTTGGGGATGGAGAGATGGTTCAGCAGTTAATCATGTACTGCTTTTGTAAAGGAACCAAGTTTAGTTTCCAGCACCCAAGTCTGGCAGCTTATAACTGCCTATAACTCCAGCTCCAGAGAATCCAATGTGTTTTTCCTGGTGTTCATGGGCACTGTACTCATGTGCACAAACACACACACACACACACACACACACACACAAAAAAAAAAATTTTTTTAAATCCTCTTTTCCACATAAAAACAAAAATTTCTACTCCTCTCTCTTTCAGGAGCGAGGAGAGAGAGAGAGAGAGAGAGAGAGAGAGAGAGAGAGAGAGAGAGAGAGAGAGAGATATATGCTCAGCTTGCTTCCCACTTTTAATTCAATCCAGGACCTAAGCCTGTGAGAGAGAGAGAGATATTCCTATAACTGACAAATAGACACCTCACTATGTCTAGCTTTTGACTCAGTTGTGGTTTTGTCCTTTTTGGTGTCTGTCTGTCTGGCACATTAACTCCATGAAGACAGGCAGGGTGTGACTCTCATCTAGGTCTGCAACAGTCCTGGCACACTAGGGCACAGGGCACAGTTGTTGAGATAACAGTGAGTACAACTTCAGCAGAAGGGAAGGTAGAGAAAGCATATGCCCTGGGAAAAGTCAGACTGCGAGGGAGGGGTGTTTCCAGGGAACACCCAGCATTCTTTTTCTGGTCAGCCCTCTATCTGCAGGCTCTACATCCTCAGTCAACTAACCACAGACCAAAATATCCTTGGAAAACAATTGTGTTTGTACCAGCATATATAGACTTCTCTCGCTATTATTTCTCACACAACACAGTATTACTATCTGTTCACATAGCATTTGCAGATGATTTAAAGCCCATGTGAGCACGTCCACAGGTTCTGTGCTAGCACTAGGCATTTCACATAGGGGACTTCAGCCTCTGTGGGTTTCAGTACCTAGAACCAATCCCTGAAAATACCATGGGATGTGTGTATATATATATATTCTGCTAAAGATTCCATTTCTCCCAATGATGCCTCCCACCACCCTCTGGCATCTTAAATCACCAAACACAGCTTGTAGTTCAAGGGACGGTACTGAGGCGTCAACACCAGAGTCTGAGGCCAGTGAGAGGTTCATACCACAGCCCATTGCTAGGCTGGCTCAGTGCCAGGATGGGCCCTCCTGTGACATTTGCTCCTGAGAAGGAAGCATGTCCTGACCTGGCATGATGGTCTTCTTGCATTCCTGGCACTTGGACGAGTACTCGTTGGAATAGCAGTCTGTGCACAGCAGCTGCTCCTCCTTGGCAGCGAAGGGTTTGTCCACCAGCGAGCTCTTGCATTGGGAGCAGTGGAAGCAGCCTTCGTGCCAGTGCCGGTCCTTGTAGGACAAGTCCTGGAGAGCCAGATATACAGACACAAAGAGAGTCAGAGGCAGGACCAGAGGGGTGGAGCTCCTCTCTGTCCCACAGCACAGGGAACATGGTAACACACAGGACAAACTGGACTGGGAGGGGGACTAAGGCCAGAGAGAGAGAGAGAGAGAGAGAGAGAGAGAGAGAGAGAGAGAGAATAAGTTTGAAAAAATGGATGGAAATGGATTTCCCTTACATAATTCCTGTAAAAAATACAATAAAAATTAATCACCGTAGTTGTCCCGGGTGTTGGGACATTTGGGACATTTAGACACAGGTCCTGAGGCAGGCAGTGTACTGGGCCAGCTGGTGGGAAGAAGGTCAGGAGAGGGCCCCATGCAGGACCACACAGAGCTGCAGTGAGCTGGCAAGGTGTGTATTTCAGGTAGAGAAAAGATCATCACATGGACAGTTGTGAGAGAGGAGAGACAAGAGATGGGGCACCTGGAAGGCTGAGGGACAGGTCAGGCATCCAGATGAGTATGTTCATATCCAGGTGGATCAGGATATGGACTCACCTTCCTGAAGGCCACAGGAGTGGGCCAGAGTAAGATTGGGGTGATGAATGATAATGGCATAGGGAAGGGAAGGGCAGGGGTCTGCACTGGGCTGTCTGTGAGAGACGGAGGTGAGGGTCTGCTCTGGACTGCCTCTGTGGAAGATGGCAACAATGCACAGATGAAGAAGACAGAATCAATCAGAGCTTTTAGTAAAGGATAAGGAGAACAAAAGAGTCTGGGAGAAAAGCCTATCAATATGGTAATACCCTTGACCTTGCTTGATGAAGTCACAAAAGACCTTTCTATATTTGCCTTTCTAAAATGGCCATTTTGAAAGTACCAACACAAAATTCAAGTAACAACCTTTTCACATCCAGCTTTGTCTTATAAAAGCTAAGTCTCAATTGCTGTCATTTCAGCCCTGAGCCCAGACCATCACCCACATATCAGTTAGGCAGAGAGACCATGAAGCCATGCAGTTTCAGGTGCCAGCTTCCAGTTGAAGATCTCCTGACCTTATCTGTAAATGGGGCTGCTCAAACAAAAGGCATCAAGAGGAACCATCTCAAGATGGCTCTGTGAGTTGCATGGAAGTCAAGCCTGGAGTGGTGCCGAGGGGAAGGTGTGGACACATATCTCTTGGATTTGATTTGAAAGTACTGAAACACCCAATGAACTCAGAACCCAAACTGGAACAAACTGCTCTCTTGAGCTGAAATTCTCTCTCTCTCTCT